AAATTTCCAGAATTAATTGATCGATGATCTATTTCTATAAAAGGTGTGATCGTCGTTATTCATTTATAGTATATTTCCAGACTTAACTATCGGTAAAGAGTTGGAAAGATCTGAAAAATCCCATCTACAGTTTAGAAAATTGATAAACATTTTAATAAAAGTAAATCAAAACAAAAAGTTAAAAAATAATGGTATAGTAAAAACATACTGGTGACTTAATGTCAAATCTGAAAAATAGAACATTTCAGGGCTAAATTTCTCTCTGAAAAACATAGACTCCTAAGAAAAAGGTAATATAAAGAAAAGGAAAACATTGATAATAAAGAAAGCATACTGGTAACTAGACCATATCAACTCTGAGTTGATTTTAGTCGGTGGAGAGGGTATTAATTTGAGCTCTTGAATATAGGTCTCAAGCACTTTCACACATTCTTCAAGCGATTTCACACATTCCTCATGCTGCCTATCTCGTTCTTGTAGAGACTGAATTTCAGAAATCTTCAGATGACTTTTTATGATCTTATACTGATTCTTGTTATAGTTATTATAATTAACAATCGATCTATTGTGACGGCGTTCTTCGTCTGTGCATTACAATTGATTAGTCAATTAATTATAATGAAAGTTTCACCAGAGAAATTATTTTTTGCAAAATATTTCAGATTTTAAAAGTAATTTCGCCAGAAGCAAGAATAAAACTCAAAGATCGCTTGACTAGCGAGAATCCGAATTTTATAGCAGAAAACACTTGGTAGATTAATCTATATTTTGACAAGATCAGTTTTGAAAGGTTTAACAGCTCTACAAAAAAAGATTTAATATTTGTGTTAGATGTAAAAAATGTCAAAAAATTACTGTTTTATTTGTTTTATTTATTAAAATTAGAAAAATTGGACAAAAATTAGTCCGAATAGTGCTTTTTTAGACATTTTTTACACATCTAACATAATCTTTTTTTATAAGGCATTATTTTGGTTTTAATTAGAACAGTAAGTATTTACCTGTAAGGTGTTTTGGAGGCATTGTTAGAAAACATAAACGAACCAAGTGCCTTTTTATAACAATTATCTGGATTCAGATGTTTCATTAAATGTATTTTAAAAACGTTGTGTCAAGAAGCAAATCCCTAGCTAAAGATCATTCTCGACCCAAAATTAATACGTAAAAAACATGAGAAATTGTAAAAGTTTTAAATAACACAAAATTTAACTATGATAACTAATCCGATCTTTAATTAAAGTTTTCAGTATAAAATACATTTTTAGATACTAAATACATCAGATATAGAATATTATGGGTCTAAAGTATTGGGAATAGAGGTCCGGAATTTGTTGACAAAGGATATCCAACGCAGTATAGTACCAACTACAAGGTCACATCAAATTCTTGAAAAATTTGCCAACAAATAAAAATTTATATGTTAGTGTAACAAATATAATTTAGTTTTATTTAGTTTCCTTATTATATCTGTTTTATTTTATTTCTATTTTATTTTATTTTATTATATATTTTTTTTAATATTTTTATTCTATTTTATTATATTTGTAAATATTATTTTATATATATATATATCCAATTATTTTCTTACAGAGGAATTCAAAGAATTATACTAAAAAGAAATATATCATGATTAAGTGGCTTAACCGGTTGTTGATTAGATAAGTTTGCGTATACACTAAAGTCCCAACCAGTATTAAATATCTGAAAAATTTTTTTTGTTTTCTGAGAACATAAAATTTAAATTTTAGATTCTCAGAAAGATTTTTAATGTTCTCAAAAAAGTATTTTATAATACAATTTACAAATTTTATGTTCTCAAATAAGAACATAATTTTTAAATATTATGTTTTCGAAAATATTTTAATGTTCTTAAAAATACTGAGAACATTAGATATTAAACACTGGTCTCAACATATACGTGGAATCTATAGCAAAGGTGTTATGAAAATCACTTGGATGTTAAAACAATTACGTTATTCTCAAGAGTCTAGCGAACTCGTTAAAAATATAACGTCAACGTTCTATAAAAAAATAAAATATATAAGTAACGAGAATTTAATAAAGCAAAGACATGTTCTATATGTCTTAAAAAAATTCCCAACAAAATAAAAATAATAATAAATAAAACCTTATACTTATCTGTAACTCGTAAAAGTGATAAATTATCGTTTTTGAATTTGACTTTAAATTTAATAAAACCATTCGAGACTCAATTTAACGGACCGAATTGACTTGCAACTTCAGATCAGATTATTAAAACTTGGATTCTGATTTAATAAATTATCAAAAGACCACGTGATGAGCCCGGAAGATAATACCTAAAGAGAATTTAGAGATTAAGTCATGATAAATTTGACATATAACCCTTACTTTTAATATCAATAAATAGATATATTATACTTTCCCTCATTAAAGAAAGACTAATAAATACCTTTCCATCCGTAAACTATTGGAGTTAAATTGGCCTTTAAATTTTGTACTCTTTTTTATATCCGTACTCGCTCTCCTAAATACAATAGTTACAATAAGTACAAGTGTCAATTTTTATATTAACTAGCAAAAATTTATATATTTGGTATTTCAGAATCTAATTAAATTGAAAAAAACAATTATTTTTAAAATTTTTATTATAAAAAGCTGAAACTTAATTTTTTTGTTGCCACTTTGCAAGTGATTTGGCTTATCATAATTAATCTGCAAAATTTCAGATAATGATATTTAATTTTGGTTTGTCTTGAAAATGAGGTTCTGAGGTCCCTCAAACCAAAAATATTAAATGAAGCACTTATACATAAATAGTTAACGGGTTGATTGACATAGCAGATACTAATTTTCGCCCGTAATATTTCAGTTAGGGTTAGTTAGAGTTAGTATTAGGCTCAGTAGGCAAAACTATATCAAAATTTTGCAAGGAATTTTTTTTGTTAAAATTTTATTACTAACCTATCTTTGAATATCTTCATTGGATGATTTAAATACTGCGACAAGTTTATCATTGAAATCTAATTACGGAATCACGAGATCGTTAAAGTTTTATATAATAATAATAATAAATCTTAAATCTGTTTTACTGGATACAAAGTGACACAGGTCTTTTACAACCCTATAAATGTATTTAATGATTTTTGGCTTGTTAGCATTAGAATCTGCAGCTAATAAATCAAAAGTTATCATGCTCAAGTTAAATATTTGTTAAGAAGTCAATAGAAAACAGTCAAATTTTTTCTAAATAAAAACCTTAAATTAAAATATCTCAAAATTTAATTATAAATCTTTATTTAGTTTAATGATTGCATTTTAATTTAAAAAAAGTTTATTACATAAAAACTATTAATTTCTTTAAGATATTTATAATGCATTTGAGTTCTACATATTCTATTAATAAAAATTCATTTATGCATGATAAAATATAGAAATTATGCATAATAATCATGTTAGGAAAAGAAAATAGAGTGCAATATAACAGTATGTATATTTAGGCATGCAATTAGATAGCGTAATACTAACTTATCAGAAATTATCTTTATACGTATCAAAAAAAATTTTGATAAAAGGTTTCTAAATTACTGTATTAATTTAAAAATTTTAATTAAGTATAAATTATATATAAAAAACATTTTTCAGAGTATGTATTTTTATTTACAAAATTTTAAAAAATATTTTGATTAGTTTATATAAATTTATATGCTATATCCCTAATTCAGCGATATATTTAACTCTCTCTATACTGAACTGACGAGTCTTATAATAAAATTTTTTTAAAAGTTTATTATAAAAAAATTCGTTATGTC